TTGCTGCATGCAGCTCACATCATCTTGCTGCCGCTGCTGCTGCTGCTGCTGCTGCTGCTGCTGCTGCTGCTGCGGCTGCTGCTGCTGCGGCTGTGGGTGGTACAGCTGCTGCTTCGCCTCCTGGTGCTGCTGCTGCTGCGGGTGATACAGCTGCTGATGCAGCAGCAGCTGCTGCTGCTGCTGCAGCGTAGAACGGGGAAGATATGAAGGCAAGGAGGGGCCTGGGGGGCCCCGCGGGTGACGAATTGCTCTGAAGGTGGAGTTGCTGCTGCTGCTGCGTTCATTGCTGCTGCTGCTGCTGCTGCTGCCACTGCTGCTGCTGCTGCTGCTGCTGCTGCTGCTGCTGTCGCTTGCATGCATCGGAGCAGCTGCTAGGTTTGTGTAGAAGGAGGGCGCGCAGAAGTTTGCTGCTGCTGCAGCAATGTCTGCTGCTGCTGCTGCTGCATGCTCATCTGCTGCTGCTCCCCCTTGCGAACTATCATCCTCAGCAGCAGCAGCAGCAACAGCAGCAGGAGCAGCAGCAGGAGCAGCAGCAGGAGCAGCAGCAGGAGTAGTTGCAGCGTTGCTAGGCTCAGCAGCACCAGAAGCTGCTCCTATGCAGATGGCCTCTCCCTCTGTTGATTGCTGGGATCGGGCGCCTTCATTGTCTTGCTGCTGCTGCTGCTGCTGCTGCTGCTGTTCCTGCTGCTCTTGCTGCTGCTGCTGCTGCGGCTGCCGCTGACTCCTGTGGGAACGCTGTAGCTGTGGGTGGGACAATGAACCAGACCCATGGTGCTGCTGAGGTTGCTGCTGCTGAGGTTGCTGCTGCTGCTGCGGTTGCTGCTGCTGCTGCAGTTGCTGCTGCTGCTGCACCGGCTCTTCTTGCCGTTCCGTCAATGCAGATTTTTCTAGCCTCTCAGATGCACAGTCTACGTGCTGCTGCTGCTGCTGCTGCTGTTGTTGTTGCTGCAGCTGCTGCTGCTGTTGTTGCTGCAGTTGCTGCTGCTGTTGCTGCTTCTGCTGCTTACTGCGCTGCCCGCCTCTTCTGCGTTGGTGCCTGCGGCTGGTACTGTCTGTCGGTTGCTGCTTTCCCCTTTGTTCTGTAGGATTCTGTTGATGATCCTGTTGCTGCTGCAGCTGTTGCTGCTGCTGCTGCTGCTGCTGCTGCTGCTGCTGCTGCTGCTGCTGCAGGGCTTGCGACTGCGCCCTGTTACCTAAGGAGGGTCCGTGGGCTGTGGGATCCCTCTGGGGGCCCCCTTGTGAGCCGTTGCTGCCTGTTGCTGCACCTGCTGCTGCTGCTGCTGCTGCTGCTGCTGCTGCTGTGGTTGCTGCTGCGCTGCTGCTGCTGCAGTGAGGGCCCCCTGTTGCTGCTGGCTTGTCTATGGGGGTGTGAGGAGGAGGAGAAGCGGGGCCCTGGCCTTCGGGTGTCTGTACACCCCACGCTTGCTGCTGCTCTGAGCCAGACGGCGCCGCGGCTGCTGCAGACCATTCACTCATGTTAAGAAGGGGCCCCCCCTGGTATGTGTATCAGCAGCAGCAGCAGCAGCGGCAGCAGCGGCAGCAGCAGCAGCAGCAGCAGCAGCCGAGGCCCTAACTCGCGCATCTCATCCCCTGGGCGTGCAGGTCTGCCTTGTAATATGCTGCAAATGAGTAAAGGGAGAAAATAACAAAACAAAGAAAGGAAAGAAGAACGAAAAAAAAAGAAATAAACTGAGAGAGAGAGAGAGAGAGAGAGAGAGAGAGAGAGAGAGAGAGAGAGAGAGAGAG